CTACTAAGAGAATTTTACCCAAGGACTTTTTGTTTATGCTCTCTTTCATAAATCAATATAAAAACAAAATTTCCTAGTTTACTCAGGTATACATTTCCTTAAACAGTAAGAAAGAGATTTATTGAAGAATTCCAGCTAAGTCATTGTAATAAAAATCCTTTAAAAATTCTTATGACATTTTTCAACAAAAGTGAAGAATGAAGAAAATAGAGAAATATTTCTTATAACAGAGAAAGTTATTATGAGCATATGAAATAAAAGGCTGCCAATTTGATAAGGTTTTATAGGTTATTGAAGATTCCTTTTTCACAGAAATCTTTCTCCATCAGCCTGAGTCCCATCACTAAAGATTCATTCCTTTTATTTACTATTTTAGGAAAGTATAAAGCAGGTATTAAATATAAGCTATTATAATATCTTGATAATTTTACTATTAAATAATAATTTTATATAGCCCTCTAAAGTTGACAACTTTCATGCATATTATCACATGAAAACCTCATCATTCCATGAAGAAATTAGAAGATCCTTTATCTAAATATATAGATGAGAAATCAAGACTCTTAGAAATTAAATGACTTGTTCAGGGTCATCTAGGCAAGTAGTAGGACTGAGGTTAGAACCTAGCCTCCTGAGATGAAACTCATTTTCTTTATCCCACATTTCTCATTGGAAAGAGATTGCAGGACACAGGAGGTCAGGATATGGAGACGAAGCCTTTAAAGACAGGCTGACTGACCTGAATTAAAATTCTGTATGTGTTATTTCTTTGCTGTGTCATATAAAGTAATGACTTAAATTCATTTTTGTTTCCTGTAAAAAATCAAGAATAAGAATGTGATATAAATAATATAGGGGCAATAGTATACATTACAGCACTTAGTGTTAATAATGCATAGTGTAGTCTTTTTGATTTTACCACTTAATGTATTTTTAATCTTACAACTAGGTTGAGAGAAAGGATAGGGACATAAAGATAATTTAAAGAGAGGTACTATTTCCTTTTATGAGCCTTACATTTCAAACTGTAATAGTTGTTTTTGTTAGATTCTATTTCTCATTCTTCCTTGAGTACGCATTGCTATCCCCTACCCGAATGTCCTTCCTGATATCTTGACTCTCTGATGAATGCCTACACATTTTTTCAAGCTCAAACTCCAGAGTTATCTCATCTTTAACACTTTCTCTGATGCCATAGGCTGTTCTTGTGGCATTCATGCAAAACTCAAATTCCCTAATACAAATTTATGAAGTGCCTCCTGTGGTGCTAGGGAACTCTGCTAGAGCCACATAAGAACACTTCATAGAACTGATCTAATTTTGTTTGTTTCTCTAAGGCAGCAGTTCCCAACCTGTGGGTCGCAACCCCTTTGGGGGTTGAACGACCCTTTCACAGGGGTCGCCTAAGGCCATTGGAAAACACATATATAATTACATATTGTTTTTGTGATTAATCACTATGCTTTAATTATGTTCAATTTGTAACAATGAAATTGGGGGTCACCCCAACATGAGGAACTGTATTAAAGGGTCACTGCATTAGGAAGGGTGAGAACCACTGCTCTAAGGAGTTCCCACACATTGGGATTTTACAGACCTTTTATGTTTAAAAAATGAGGACTAATGTAGAAATACCAACTTTTAATTTTCTAAGTAAGGATATAATAAGCCATCACAAAAGAAATGGCATTTGATACCAAAATATAAAATCTCTGGATTAAAAAAAAATTAATAGGTAAGCTTTTTAGAAACTTCATAGAAGAGGCCTGCAATATCAGGGAACAGCCCTTGGGGGATTCACTCGTTTAAATATATTTTTGTCCCAATTTGATAGTTCTTAGAGATATTTTTTTCTTATTTACATTTACATTCCTAGTGCAGTGCTCTCTGCCTAGTAGGAAGTACTCAATAAATGTTTATGAATGAGGCAGTGAATTTTCCTCTGAGCAAATACTTCTGAGGTCCGTGGCAATGCCGGCAGTGCAGAGCACCTGTGAGAGGATGGGGTAGTAGTGAGAGAGCACTGGAGTTGTGCGTGTGCTGATATAACTTACTTCCCAGGTTTGCCAGGCACCAGCCATTCAGAAGATTTTGCAGAGTTACAAATGAGGTTGTCTTGCCAGAGAACAAGTGAGGAGGCAGGGCAAGAAGTAAGATACTGGGGTATCCTATATAATAAAAGCCTAATATGCTAAGTGTTTTGTTGTCTGCTCATTCGTCCAACCAATCAAAGTGTAATATGCTAATGATATGCTAATATCACTCAACTACTTGGTATGACGTGCACTGACCACCATGGGGTGGACGCTCAACTGGTAGGTTAGCTTGCTGCTTGGGTCTGGCCAATCAGGACTGACTGAGATGGACCAGACATGCCCTGGAGCCCTCCTGTGTTCCTCCCCAGCCCCGATTGTGCATTGGTGGGGTCCCTCAGCCTGGCCTGCACCCCCTTGCAGTCCAGGACCCCTCGGGAGATGTTGGAGAGCTGGTTTTGGCCTGATCCCACTCAACGCAGGAGCTGCCCCCTGGTGGTCAGTGCATTACCACAGGGGGAGCACTGCTTAGCCAGAAGCTGGGCTCACAGCTGGCGATCTCAGAGGTGGTGGCCAGAGCCGCTCCCACCTCCATGGCAGCACTAACCATGTCCGACTGATGGCTTAGGCCCGCTTCCCACTGGGAGCAGGCCTAATTTGTCAGCTGGACATCCCCTGAGGGCTCCTAGACTATGAGAGCACACAGGCTGGGCTGAGGGACCCCCCCCCCCCCGAGTGCATGAATTTTGTGCACCAGGCCTCTAGTATCACTATAAAAAGAAATGGATTCTCTTCCTGGAGCATAATTTAAAATATTACATGTGACATTTTAGGTCCATTAAAAATTATAATAAGTATAGCTATAGTAAATAGATAACATTCATTTAATATTCACTGTGTCAGGCAGTGTTATAAGTTGTTTGCATGCACTGTGTCACTTAATCATTACAGCAACCTGTTGAGGTGATGTGATTACTATTCCCACTATACTGATGAAGAAACAGGCTTGAGGTGGTTGAATGATTTGCCCAGCATCACACAGTTAGCCAGTGGTAGAAGTAGTTTCAATCCTGACACATTTGTTTTTAGAGTTTACCAAAACTCTTGGATCCCTTTCTAGCCATATATTTCTATAATGAGCAGAGTTTTAAATGAGAAAATTAAAATGTTGCTCTCTAGCCAGGATGATAAAGCGTTCAGGGTATCCAGTTGTTTTCCACTTAAAAGCTGTGTGACCATAAGCAAATTCTTTAACACCTTTGAGCTTCAATTTCTACATCTCTAAAATGGGGATGAAAGCCCTCCTTTCTGTGTTTTGGGGAGGATTAAATGGATAATATATCTAAAATAGCTAGCAAAGAGTGTGGATTATAAAGGGGGTTTCATAATGTTAATTCACTAACGGGCCTAGTAAGATAAAATATTTTTGAATTAAAATCATATTAAATATTAGAGATAGGATGAGAGCAAATGGATCATTACTCTAGTGAATAAAGATGCCTAAATTTACAGAATTCTTTGGAGAGCCATGAGGATTACTTTGCTGCAGCCCTCATTTCAATTAAGAACATGGAGATCAGATATTTCAGCATGGGGATAAGTTACATTTGATTTACACCACAGATGCACTTTTGCAGCATCTCAACATTCCATTCCGTGGCTATAGGTCTAAGAAGCTACTTCAGCAAACCTGAAATTGCAAGATAAATGGAAAGTCCTTAATCATTTGAAAAGAAATAGTAAAGCATGCCCAGGTACCAGTGAGACCATTTTGAAAGACTGACAAATGCCTTCATTAAATAGTCAGAATATAAAATTAAAAGAGTTCATCTCTAGTGTTTTTACACCAACACTTTCAGAAAAATATGTACATATCTATATGTAATCTCATTTTGGGAAAAAGTATTGTTCACCGAGAAAAGCACGTTGCAGAACAATGTGTTAAATATGAACTTCTTTTGTAAAAACAGTGTGAGCCCCTCCCATATCTGAGTCTGTATTTTACGGATGGATATAAACGCGGAGAAGGTGTGAATGGTTCATGCCAGGATGTCACAGTGGGAACCTCGAGACTGGTTGGCCTGAGAAAATTTGTGGAGAGCGTTTTGCTTCTTGAATACCTTTGTATTGTTTCACTAAATGCAATGAGCATAGATTACTTTGGACCAAAAATATTTAAAGATATAGAAGAAAAAATGTACACTTTAAAAAAAATCTTTATCTACCCATTCATTTATTAATTAACCCATATTTATTGAATCCCTAGTAGTAATGATTAAAGATTGGTCTTCTCTGTGAACTGTCAGACTTGACTTCTTCAGAGGCAAGCTGGCTAACCATGATTTTACTTCGTGGGGTTAGCAACGTGATTCTGTGCTCTGTTCTAAAATCCCATCCTGTTCCCCATGGGGATTAAAAGGATATATTAGATCTAAGCCACTTGTGATTAATTTCACTCCTTTCCTTTCCACCTGTAGTTATCACATTAGAAGGAGGATTAATTGACTTCCCAATTCCATTGACTTGTGGGTGGTCATAGGTGGTAAGAGGCGGAGTTTAGAGTCAAAAGATAGGAGTTTCAGTTCTGACTCTTCCGTTCATCAGACATGCAATATTGGTATGTTGAACTCTCAGCACCATCCTCGCTCCTGAAATAATAATACCTTTCTTACAGTATGGCTATAAAGCTCCAGTAGGATCCTATATTAAAAGTCTTAAAAATTGCAAAGTGATGCATAAGTATATATTACTATTTCTCCACAAAAAATTGCGATTTTGCTTCCTAACAGGGATCAATGACACATAGTGACACGTATTTGCAGATTTCCACGGGAAGCAAGACTATCATAAGTTTGAATGGCGCTAAGACATTTCCGTTAGCCCCAAAGCAACAGCTGACACATTAGGCAAATGCAGTTTCTTCCTGGTAATGACCACAAACCCAATCAACCAACAAGCATATCTGACCTGGTGTAATCGTCCTCAACAAGCATGTGCTTTGGAATTGGTGAGTACCTTCCCGGAGAGATGGGCGGCAGGGAGGTTTTATATTCTAAAGTGCCATTGTTGCCAGAAAGTAGATGGTTTTCCATCGGTGGAGAATAAGCTACGAGGTGAAAAAAGAAAAGAAAAGAAAAAACCCTGTTATGTGGGTGATTTGATGCCTCATGCCATGGTTTTGTTAAAAACAGAAAGGCTTCGCTACATGCCAGGGATTTTCTTGTCCTCCAGGAGGGGGCGGGTGCTGTTTGTTGGCATTTAGTATGTATGAGCACAAAGTGACCTTTAGGATTGGAATGATATAATAGCAGTTATACTATAAGCCCTGTTAGCATAATTAGGTCAAGCGAAGAATTGGAGGAGAGATTGAGCACACATGTTTTCAGAATGATGATTAATTTTTCTGCTGAAATAAAAATGTTAGCTTTCTAAGGACAGAGTTCACATTCTTTTCACATAATTACTATCCAATCATCAAAAGCAGAAGGTTCCTCAGAACAAGTTCTTGTAGATATTTTAATCAAAAATCTGCTGTACTCACAGCTCAGGAAGACTAAGAACTCTGGCCTTCTTTTCTATTCACCCACCCTAATTCATCTCCTTTCGGGGAGACTGAAAACCCCTCCTTACTGGGTCTCCTGTCCTCCTCTTTCTATTTTACACATTGAGAATTCCAGCTCTGATCATGCTGTTCTCTAGCTTAAATGCTCTTAATTGCCAGGAGAGTATTGAATATTTCCTCTCCCTTTCACTGTTCTTACAAGATTGGTCCATTTCCAATCTCCCTTCCACATGTCCTATGGCCTTCAAACAAAGCCCGCCTGTCCTTCACAACATCTGTACCTTTGTTCCCCTCTATTCACTGCAACAATTTCTGCCTCTTATCCCATCTCTGATATTGAAATCTCATCCATTCTCGATAATTTTCAAATGACACCTTCTGCATATTTTTAAATCATCTAAATAAAGGTAATATTCCTTCCTTTAAATGCCCAAAGGATATATATTTTTTACCTCTTTCCTGGCCTATGCATCCTTTTATTTTGCCATATGTTGCTGCTATTTATATATCTGAATTAGTGTTCCTTCCAATGAAAGCCATGGTGGTATCTCCTTTGTAAATCACCTATTACCTCACAAGGTGTTTTGTACATATTAAAGTTACTCAATACATATTTCTTATTTGAATAGCAAGTTTTTCTTTCTCTCTTTTGCATTATCCTTATAAGCCCTCATGAAGTGGCTCACAGAGTATCAAGGCTGATTTTTCTAAGTTCATCCAGTTTGAAACACTTTGAAGTTCAATCTCTTTCATATCCTAAGGTAAGGCTGATCTCAGATTACTACCTGCTTGAAAAAAAAGACATATCTGGGGGCAAGTCATTTTAGAATCACCATTAAGAAAAGCAATAGCTAATGTAATGGGCAGGTAACAAAATTATTCAACCTGTAAATTTCTCTCAAGAGAAAGATCTAAATCTAAGAGAGGTTAACCGATTTGCCTAAGACCATAGTACTAATTAATGGCAGGTCCTGAAGACATTCTGGGTTCCTAACTTTACAAGTGGGTCCTCAAAATCTGAGAAAACTTACTGATGTCAACAAAACTGTCCCTTAAACTCAATAAAAAGATGAATTGCTTCAAAATTAGGTCCATTAAGACAGAACTTTAGGTAAAGTTCTTGTTGACCTATTAAGAAGAGTTCTAGAAAAGACAGGCCAGCACAGCATCTCATAGTTGTTGCCCTAGAAATCCCTACCTTCAACCCACCTTTACTGCCTAAGTGACTAACAAGTTTGTCTGGCTTCTCTACCAATATAACAAAATCAGGTAAAGTTAAGAGCTATGATGATGGTGATTACAGAACATAATTTCACCAAATATAAGTCCCCCCACCCCTCCGCCCCTACCAAGAAGAAGCATAGTATTTTCCTGGGTCTATTTTGCCAGCCTGTCTTTTCTACTCTGCTATTATATAGATTTGAACTAGGAAGAGAAAATATTATGGCCTGAGAGCCATTATGCATTAGGGACTTAAGAAATAGCCCTTAAAAATGTGTTGCTCCTATGTTATTGTAACCACACTGTCTACAACATACATTATTAAGCCTTTCCACAGTGGCAGACCTGCTAAATCATCAGGGTGTCTCACCTTCAAAACGCTAGGCAACCAGGGAGTATAGCACAGAATCCCTCTGAAGTATTTCCACAGGCTTAACAAATGGGAAGGTGCAAGCATAGGACTTTGCCAAGTTTTGCAGAATTCCAGTTTCACAAGCCTGGCATGCTATTTGAAGATGACACAGAGGGTGGTACTTACAGTGAGTAATATCAGGTGGACCATAAGGATCAGTCATATAAATGGTGGTGGGCTTGCCAACTTTTAGATAAACTACATCTGACGTGTTCTTCAATATTGCTACGGCCTCTTCATGTGTTACTTCTTCTAAACTGTAGTTGTTTACCTGAGAGGTGAAAAAATTCAATGTTAGAGTCAAAACTCTGCAGGTGAAGGGGAATACTCAGGCAAGAAGATACATAGAATTTTGACCTCATTTCAAGAATAAATTGCAATGATTACAGTCCAGTATCTATTTCATACTTTGGCAGAACAGATAGGTTAATGGTATCAGCCAAAGCAGGTAAGATACAGCCATTGATGCTAAAAAACAAGGTTGCTTCTGCCTTTTTCTGTGATGAAGCAATACATTATAACAGCAAGCAGAATACTCTTTGTGGAAAAGTGAAAGCAGTGGCCAAATGTCTTTCTTCTGCTATAATTTTTGTGACTACAAAAGTAATACATATTCATTGAACTAAAAAAAAAAAAGAAAAAAATTATCTGTAATCTCCCTATTTCGATATACTGTATTTCTATAGACAATTCTGACTGCATTATACACATTGTTTTGGAATCTGCTTTTTAAATCTACAGTGAGCACTTGTCCATATTTTGAATGTACTTCAGTAACATGAGTTTTGTTTTCTACAGAGCACTGTCTTGCATGGCTAAACCATAATGATTTCGCTAATCTCTTACTGAAGCACCTTTAGTTTGCTTCTAATTTTTTTGTGGTAGAAGTGATGTTGCAGTAAACCTTTTCTATATTTGTGTACAACTTTGCTGATTTCTTCAGGATAGATCATACAAGTAGAATTGCTGGACCAAACTGCATGAATACATATGACAAGGCTTCTCATACCTATTCCCAAAGTGCTCTCTGGAAACATGGACCAGTTTACTCTTACACCAACTATTGGAAAGCCCCTATTTTCCTCAACTTCACCAAACTTGGCTTTTCTTACTTTAAAAATTGTTCCCATAAAAATGTCCCATTTAACATGAGTCTGACTTCTAAGGAAAGAGTGCTCATGTTGGGGGCCTAGGGCTTTGCAGGTGAGTGAGTTCAAGGGTACCCTATTGCCAGTGGCTTGAACAGCAACCCCTCTTTGTTTATTGGACAGAACAGCCTGGGTTACAAGTGCAGTTATCACTCCATGGCAGTGGCATTGCAGTGGTTCTCTGCAGTACCTCTCTTCAATGGTTTTAAAATATTCAGGAAGTATTTTAAGTACCTAGGTTATCCTTATTTGGCTATTCTTTTATTATGATACTAGAGGCCCAATGCATGAAATTCGTGCTAGAGTAGGCCTTCCTTCCCCTGGCTGCTGGCACCAGCTTTCCTTTGGCACCCAGGACCCAGGACCCGGGCTTCCCTCACAGTCCCGGCTTCATCCAGAGGTCGTCTGGAAGGTCATCTAGAAGGACCCTTGGCAGGGGTCCTCAAACTTTTTAAACAGGGGCCAGTTCACTGTCCCTCAGACCGTTGGAGGGCCGGACTATAGTTTAAAAAAAAAACTATGAACAAATTCCTATGCACACTGCACATATCTTATTTTGAAGTAAAAAAAAACAAAACGGGAACAAATACAATATTTGTATTTGCATGTGGCCTGCGGGCCATAGTTTGAGGACCCCTGACCTTTGGTCTAATTAGAATATTACGTTTTTATTATTATAGATGATTCTGAAATAATGTAGAATTAAAATAAACGTGCCAAGCTTGGATCCTTGCATATACTCTGTACCATCTAAATAGCAAGTTAGTTACAAACACCTTTCAGCATTGCCTTTTTCTTTTGGCCTCATGTTGTTATATAAATTCCAAAGACCAGTTCATCCTTGGTGGTGTAGCCCAAGTTAGGGACCCTGGAACCAGAGGGCAATGAACCTGACTGATGAATATGAATTCTGACTGTGAACTCTCTGGTAAGCTGTAAGCCTCACCATATGTTCCTGTAGATTTTTCCTAGATAAGAAACATTCTCTTAAATTCTTCTGTACATTGAATGTCTAGCACTTGTTCATTCATTGATCAAATGTTTATTGAATACCCATTATGTGTCAGTCACTGTTTTATGTTTTAGAGTTATAGCAATAAACAATAAGAATGACAATCACAGTAGACACTTCTATGGCCTATATTACACATCAGGCACTATTCTAAATTATTTTACATATATTGAAACAATCAAACCTCACAACAACCTATGAGGTAGCTATTATAACTAACTTCATTATATAGATAAGAAAAGCATGTCTCCAAGAGGTTAAGAATCTGCCCAAAGTCATTGATATAATAAGTGGTAGAGGCAGAATTAAAAGCCAGTCAGTTTGGCACCAGAGAGCACACTTTATTCATCTACAGCAAGCATGTCAAACTTGAAGGCTAACATGGGCCAAATAAACAAGTCATGCGGCCCACGAGTCATGAGTTTGACATGCTTGATCTACAGTATATTTCTTCTTCTAGATAGACAAGGTCTCAGCTCCCCTGTAACGCACTTTCTAATACATTCTAAGGACACAGTTGTTTATGGAATGAATGGATAGAATGTATCTGTGCAGAAAAGTGAGAATGTAGAGGGACTGCAGGTATGGGAACACAGTTGATCATGGCAGCCCTTATGTAATAGAGAAAAAAATAACAGTAATAATAACAATAGCTAACATTTATTTGAAATCTGCATGTCACATGTTTTCAGTGTACTATGTATAAGTTCTGACATAAATCATATAACTGATCCTGGTTATAGCTCCGTGAGGAAAGCATGAATAATCAGGGCCATTTTACAGATGAGAAAAACCGATGTTTAAAGAGGCTAGCTTGCAACAAAGAGGCCACACAGCCTCCAAAGGGCAAAGCCATCAGTTGGATTACAGTCCTGAAAAACGAAAATGAGACTGCCCTTGAGTGCTGGTTCATTGAAACCCAGGGCTTACATCATCTATTCTTTCTCCCTTGAAGAGAACAGAGTCTCCTTCCAAGTTTACATATAGAAGTAACATAAATTCCAAAGTGTTATATAAGCCTGAGTAATCATTATACTTCTTGCTCAATATGGTGGTGACTATATTGCGTCATCCAAATACACTGACATAGTTAAAAGATAAATAAATAAAATGGATAACAGCTAGTATATCTGTCTCTTCGAGACCTTCTTATATATTCGATCACTTGTTTTAGGGCAGTATCACTTGTACCTAAATAATGACTATTTACAAATGATGCTCATGATACAGTAATTTAAAATGTGTATTGAAGTAGATGTTTTATCTCAAAAAATTATTACTTAAGGTGGCTGTGAATATTGTGACCAAGGGGTCCAGCATCACCTATGGGGTGTGTGTCCCCAAAAATGTATACACACACTTGGAATAATTATAAAGGCCCTGTTTATTAAAATACATTTCATTTTCAAAATTGAGCTCTCAACTATTAAAGTGTGTATACATTTTTTGGGGGGAAGGGGGGCCCTGTATATTGATAAAACAAAATGGAAGTGGAATTTGTTGGCATAACACAGAGGGGATGACAAGTCAAGGAATAAAGACTCAAAGGCTAAAAACCACCTGGATTAGATTATACGGGCACAGGAGTTCTGTTTTCGACAAGGACTCATTGTCTCTCTCCCGAGGGTAGAGAAAGCACACAGCTCATTAGATTACCCGCGAAAAAGAGATGTGGCTAGTGCTTATTAAATTGCATTTTTGCCATTTTTAAGGTGGGCAGTGAAACAGTCTTGAAAATGGTACCTTCAAGCATGTTTTCTGAAAATGACTTTGTTGACAGACTTAGACAAGGAACATCTTTGGACCAGAAAGCAGTGGGGGTGAGGAGTAGGGAAAGAGAGGATGTTGGGGGAGTAATTTATAATGGTGGTAGGTCAGTCTTTTTTTATTTGTGACAAGGAAATATTGGAAAATTTACACAGATTTTAGACATGGAATGAGTGGTGTGATATTGTCAACAGGACGCAGTCACTAAGAGTACATGCTTTTGTGTCATACAGACCTGGATCTGAATCCTTGTCCTGGCACTTTCTAGCTGTGTGACCTTGGGAAGCTTATCTCACCTTCTTGGCCTCAGTTTTGACATGTGTAAATAGGTATGATAAGAATCACTGGATTTAAACGCACTGACCTATGTACAGTGACAGGTGCACTGAAGTACTTATTAATGGTAGCTCTTATTAGCATTACTATTGTCATCATCCATCCCTTTTCCCAGGAAACAGAAATTCTTGGTGAAATTTTGTGCTGAGCATTTTCCTGTAAACATCTGTGAACTGATGAGTTTAATTGTGGTACTGTTGATGAGGCTTCTGTGTGTGTGTGTGTGTGTGTGTTTTTTTTAATCAGAATAGTACAGGATCTGGATCAAAAATTGCTCTTTTGTGCTGAAGTCTTCAAAATGTTTTTTACAAATGTGGGTTTATTTGGGTTAATTACGTGTGTGCATTCTATGAACCCTCAAGATAAAGGGCCTACAGCTGGAGCTGATTGTACAAAGAGAGAAGGGATATTATACTGATTGGCTAGTTGCTCTTGTCATTGTTTTTCATTGTCTTTTTTCTTTTCTTTTGCATGGAGTATCTGCCTATAATGGTGAACACTGAGCAACTGGCCTGGTTTTATAAAAAAAATAAGGTGCATCTGAATGAAGTATTTCCATAGAGTGTGTACTTCACGGTGGGGGGTGGGGGAACACATATGTGCAGTATGTCCATTAGGACATATGCAATAGGACCCTGGACTGAGGCCAAGAAGGAGAGGTTGGAGGTGAGATGACTCATCCTCTCAGATAGAGCTCTGAATCTGAGGATGATGCAGATAAAAGAGGGCAAACCAGCTGAAGGAAGAGGTGCTAGGAGACTTGTCAGACTTAGCAAGTGTAGTGAGAATTCAAATAAGTGTAAGCACACATACAGGTGTCCCCACAAAATGTATATACATTTTGAATAATTATTAATTCCAATGGGTTAAATCAGAAAAGAAAGAAGCATCAATAGAGTTATCAGTTGTTAAAGTGTATATACTTTTGGGGGGACACCCTGTCCCTGTATATGTGATGGTACAAAGACAGGAGGTGTGGGGACATGAGAGGGTGGGAATAAGGAGGAA